TAGAGGCATTGTCGTGTGTCTGGCTCGGCGTTACTTTTATACTTTTATTTTCGGGTGCGGCGCCACTTCTATTTAATATTGTGGAAATTAGAGCAGCAATCTGGCGGAAATATTTAGCCAATTGGCAAAATAATTTAAGGGCAGTCCCCGTTGCAGGCGCCTTGATTTATGCTGCAGCCTTTTCTTTCTCGGTTGGTTACTTTTCCATTTTTTTTTTCTTTAGCCCCTCTCAAAAGTTTTTAACTCGCATGTGTGAGTGTGTGCAATTGTGCACTAATTTGCAGTTAGTTTAATAAATTTTCCACTGCGCCACATGCGTGTGCGCAAAAGTTTGGAGAGTGCGGGTCGCAAACTTTTAATTTCTTGTTTGGCAAGCGGCATTGTGTCATAAATTTTTACCGCTCCACCGGGCAGGCGTAATACACTGCTCAAAAACATACTTTTATTAATATTAGAAAGTTTTTCTTTTGAAAAGCTCTGAGCAATTCTGAATAGTAAGCAAAAAAGTTAAATGGAAAAGTATTCTTTATGAACGTAAAAATATCATGTAGGTATATTAAAACAAAAATCACATATTTGTGCGCCTGCACCTTTGCGTTATACGATTTTTAGCCAAGTTGAATTTATTTCCGGTGCAGATGTGACCCACAAAGTGATAATTGTATTGGTAATTATTTCCACTGGGCTAGCAGGCCTAACCTGCCATCATAAATAAAATCCAGTGCCCGACCAAATGGCAATTAAGCCAAGGAAATAGTCGTTGCTCGATAAGAAGGTTGTCGCTTTTTCCCCGATTTTACTGCTTTCCCATGCAAATTAGTTGCAATCAGCAGCAAAAAAATTACAACAAGCAAGTGCAAGGGCCATTACAATGGCGAAACGAGGGAAAAATGTTAACACGAATTAGCCAGAAAGTATGCAGAGATGCGAGATGGCAACAGGAAGCGGATGCAATAAACCATGCACCAGCAGCCATAAAAAAGGAGACCCGGAACGTGCTGCTCCTATTGAGAGTCCTTCGAGGAGCTGAAAACGCGGAAGAACTGCACCGAAGGAAAAGTGTTGTGATAAAAGAAACTATAAAAGATTTTTATTCGTGAGTTCCTCAATTTTGGTGGCTCTTTTCTGAAGCAGTTCTTTAATTGTCTTTGAGTTATTAAAGAGTTTTACTAACAAGTTAAAAAAATCTTTTTTATTAGATAAAAAACCTAATATTATGTTTTTATGGAAAGCTATTGTATTGTGTTATTTCTTTTTGTGTATCTTTGAACGGGTTGTGATAAAAGTGATAGCCGCGGGAGCAAAGAAAAATAGGAATTAGATGGCAGTGGGGGTCGCCTAGAAGTGGGCCACTTAAGCCGAGATGTCTAAGCACTTGACACTCCCCAGATCCCTTCCTATATGCCATATTTTCCCTTCTGATGTGACACATTTCTAGCTATTGCCACAAGTCAGACTAACGATATGTGACACTTGCCCCAACACGAACACACGCACAAACACTTGGCAACAAACACAGGGATTATGCAAATGAAGTAAGGGGCCCTTTGAAATTCATAAACATTTAATATTTTATGGAGCATTCATGAACATTTAGGCAGCACTGCAAGTGTCGAATATATATGCGTGTGAGTGTGTATATGTGTGTGTGTTTGGCCAAAACAATTGCCGTTTGTTGTTGCCTTTGTTTGTTGCTGCTGCCTGCATGTTTATTTGTTGTTTTTTGCTCCGCACTTGAGGCAGGACACACATATGCCGAGGATGTGGTAGGTACACTAAAAAAAAGTCGCGATAACTCTGGTTCTTACAATTTCAATGATGAAAAGAAAAAAGTATAGCTTCAAGACTCTGAAAGCAAATTAATATTATAACCGAACCAAGTGCAACCGAATATATTTTCAAAATCGTGGATTTTATATTTGTTCTCTGTGTAGTCACAACTATATGAATATCAAAGTGTTTTGCATGAATTTCATGTGCTGTATTGGTGAAATTTTACTTGTCATTGTTGCGTGCTGAATAAAAGATGAGAGCCCCAACAAAGCCCGTTCGCCTGGAGAAATGGAAAAGGGGGAAAATCTGTGGGATTATCGCCGGTGAACTGCAGTTGCTAATCACCCAATTTGGTTGCACGATTCAATCGGAATGAGAGCAGTATGAAATGGAATAAAACGAGGGCGCAACTGCCATTCACGCAATTAACTAACTTGGCCCGAATGGCACTAAAGCTTTTATCTTATTATCCCGGAGAAATACCCAAAGCGCTGAACGCAGAACGCTGACAAGCCAACACAAACAAATGAAGCCGGCAAGATGGCAAATAGTCAAAGGGCCAGTGGAAAAACAGAAGGCAACCGAAAATATCCGCAGGTCCTCGAGCAGGAAAGCAAAAGAAAAAAAAAGGAAAACAAACCGTTTCCACAGCGAGAAAAGCGCATTATGTCCTCGTCCTCGTCCCTTTCGTTTTCTTTCTTTCATTCGCTATCTCCCTCTTGTGGCCGCTTTGTTATTTCGATTTTATTCTCTAACGATTTTCCGCCTTTGATTGCGCACCTTTTTCTATTTTCTACTGTTCAGTTTTCACCTTACCGCCGAACCGACGGGGTTATAAATATGAGCAAACATTTCACAAGATATCCTTAATTAAAGCAATTTCCCTTTTTGGTGGGAAAGGGCGAAAGGACGAAAGGACGATGGCAAGATGGTTGCGTGTGCAGCGGCTGGAATGAAATTTGCAAAAAGGACAGCCAAAGGAAATAAGCTGCCTTGTCCTCGCCATAAAGGTGCGACCGAAAAACGCTGGGACAATGACCTGTTACGCACACTTACTCGCTGTCACAGATACACCCAAACCACGACACACCCACACTCACACCCACACAAAACGCCCCACACATACCCACGGGGCAAAAGGGTTAAGAGCGAATCTTCGTGTGGCCATTAACATGAAATTTTTAACAGGAGCCGCAAGCCGAGAACCAGAGTTGCCAGGGCTGCCAAGATTTCGGCGGGGTCACGTGGCCCGCCATTGTTGCCGCCCTCTTCTTATTACACCATCTCCGACTATATTAATATCCTTTTTGGGGTTATTACAACTATCTCCTAAGGTAACGATTTGATTAATTAAAAAATAACTAACACTTTGAAAAAATTGGTTTAAATACTTTAACAAATTTTTAAAAATATGAAAAAATATTTTATTAATTTGTATAGAAGAGTATTTAAATTTGTAGTATCATTGTTGGTTTTTCTTTGGATTTCGTTGGGTAAGAGCCCTGCGAAGTAAGCTTTTGTCTTTTGGTCTGGATGTGGTCCTCTCTTATTTTTAACCAGCAGTCAAAGGGATGGAGAAAGGCGGAGAAAGGGAGAATGAGAGACAGAGAGGGCGTGGCGCCGCTTTGTTCGTAAGCCCCCTTTTTCATAGTTTCCTCGCCGCCCCTCAACGCTCCGCCTTAATCCAGCGCGTATGTCCTTGCACAACATCCTTTGCATTGTTTGCGCTATAAATACACGATGCTGGAGGTGCGCAACGAGTAAAATACCAACAACAAGGACAACAACACTCGAAGCCAAACGAAAAAAGAAAACAAAAAACAACAATCATACTCCCACGCAGAATAACAACAACAACGGCTTATCCTTGGCGTCTTCGTCGGCGTCGCACAGGATGCGCCGCTTATTTATCGCATTTTTATGTGAAATAAACGATTCGGAATTGGCTACGTAAAACATTAATTTTATTGTGGGGGAAATTGAGATTGCACAGCGAAACAACAAGCCCCAAAGAGGAGCAACCGCCGCAGGAACACCTTGAAAGTTTCGCTCGTCCTCGAATTAATTTCGGTTAATATTTTCACCAACTGTTGTGTATCGATGAATTTGGAAGAATTAAGTGAAGCTTTTATACCAGTGAATTGAAAGTTCCGATTTTAAAAATGTAACATTATAGGTTAAAAAGCTTAAACAAGAAAATAAGCTAACTTTGGCGGGCTGAATTTTATATAGGTACCCTTGCAGTCATCGCAAATGTCGAGTAAAATGCATAAAGGCTAAACAACATCGAAGATTTATTTTATTAATATTTCCATATTTTCACCAATTGTTCCTATGATTGTTCGTCTGATTTTTATGAAATTTAACTAAATATTCATTCATTAATTCAAATGCCACTTTAAAATCTGTATAGAAAAAGGAAATTTATACCCTCAAATTTAGTGAATTTTTTTAAATTTTGTTACATCATTCAAATTGAAAAACACGACCATAAAATAACTAATTAAGTTATGATGCACTTTTAAACGAACTCCACATAGCCTCTACCTCTAAGACTAAAAACCGTGTAAATAGTCAATTTTACAATTAGGGAAAACAAATGGATTCCGATTTAACAGATCGCATCGCCAATACTTTATATAGTTTGTCCTCAGATCAACAGCAAAACAGTCGCAGGATGAAACGAGAAAGCGGCTTAATTGCGCTGGTCTTAATATTCTGTTTAATTGTACAGACACTTCAAGATGAGCCCAATAATGTCACACAGGTCAGACAACCAACGCCTGGAGCACCCAAAGAAGCTACTACAATCAGTACAGCAGAGTCTACAATCACTGGTAGGAGACGGTGGCGAAAGTCCAGAAGAACTTTAAGGAAGGAAAACGATTGTCCACCTAATGAGGTCCATGGAAGAAGGAGTCGCTGCATCCACGCAAGGCATTCTCACAAATGGAAGAAACGTCAAGAAGAACCTACTAAATGAATTAAAGTATGGAGTAAAATAAATTTATAACTTGAATCTGTTGACTTAAAGGATCTGAATTTGATGATATTTAATTGAATATTTCTATTGTTTAAAATTAAAGAATTAAATAAAAAAAATATTGACAGCACAGCAAACGTAACTTTCACAGCGAGGCAAAACGAATGGGTTTATAGATAAGCACCGAATGAGTTCCGCATCATTTGTTTTTAAGAATATATGTTTCAGTCCGAGTAGTCTGGCACACCGTGATGCATTCCCTCGGCAGAATATACGTGCTGATCTTATTGTATTTTAATTTATTTGGGAATACTCTTCAAGATAACACAACTATTGCAGAACCAACCCCAGCTGCACCACAACCCATCACAACTATTGCAGACCCTACCCCAGCTGCACCACCTGGAAAGGATCCGGATACTGCTAAACCAGAGATTTCCAAAGAATCTTCCTCTTCCAAATGCAAGTCCACGGAGATTCTGTCCGAGAATGGGTGCGTGGATCGGGAGTATTTCCTGGACAAAATAATTATGAGATCCTGGAAAGACGAAGGCTTTGGAAAGGCAAAAGCAAGAGCAGGTCTGGTGGATGTTGGGCAGTGCAAGAGCGACGAGGTAAGGACACCCTATGGATGTGCAAAACCACCGATTCCACCGCATAGGGATTCAAATCGGATTAAAGTGCAGCACAGTAGACTAAGCCACAATAAAATCTTGAATGGCATTCCCATTTCCAAAGTAAGTCGCCAGGAGGATGACGGTGAACGCAAGGTTGTTAAAAAGCCTAGTATCTCGGGTCCCCCGATTACTGGTGAAAAACGGCCGCGAAAGTACGTTTTTATGCCAGGAAGAACTTTAAGGAAGGGATCCAAGTGTCGGCCCAATGAAGTTCTTGGAAGAAGGAGTCGCTGCATAAGGCGTTCACGCAAACGAAAAGAACGTGAAGAAGAAGATACTTAAGGGAGTAAGATATGGAGTAAGATAAATAAGTAACGTGTATCTTTTGGCTTAGGTTATAAAATGTTTTTACTCCTCTATTGTCTAAAACTATAGAATTTAATAAAAGTAATAATTTACAGCACAGTAACCGTGTTATTAACAGCGAGAACGAATGGATTGTTTAGACAAGCACCGAATAAGTTCCGCATAATTATTTTTTTTAGAATATTTGTTTCAGTTGGTTTAGTCTTGTCCAACGTGATGCATTCCCTCGTCACAATATATGTGCTGATCTTATTTTTTTTTAATTTATTTGGGATTTCTCTTCAAGATAATACAACTATTGCCGAAACTACCCCAGCTACACCACCTGCAAAGGATCCGGATACTGCACCACCTGCACAGGATCCGGATACTGCAAAACCAGAGATTTCCAAAGAATCTCCCTCTTCCAAATGCAAGTCCACGGAGATTCTGTCTGAGAATGGCTGCGTGGATCGTGAGTATTTTCTAGACAAAATAATTATGAGATCCTGGAAGGACGAAGGCTTTGGAAGAGCAAAAGCAATAGCAGGTCTGGTGGATGTTGGGCAGTGCAAGAGCGACGAGGTGAGGACACCCTATGGATGTGCAAAGCCACCACTTTCACCGCACAGGGATTCAAATCGGGTAAATGTGGATCACAAAAGTATGAGCCAAGCGTATAAGGCTTTCTTCAGGCGTACTGGCCACCAAGAAAATGTTAACGAAGTCAGGGAAAAGAGAACCCCGTACTCTGGACCTCCTGTTTCGGGACATAATCGTCCCCGGAAGAACTACATAATGCCAGGAAGGTTGTTACGGACCTTTCGCCAATGCCGACCCTACGAAACCCTCGGAAAAGATGGTGAATGCCATCGAAAGAAGGGTAAAGATGGCCATTACAAGCATACGAATCACGTTTATGGATTACAAAAGAGGCACCGACATGAGGCATATAAGGGAAACGCCCAGAATAATGAAGTCTAATAAAGAACATGTTACCAAAAATAAACTTTTCTTTAATTTTCCAAACTAGAATTACTGTCCATTTGGGCCACCAATAAGGATAACATTTGCCTCTAATATTTGTTGCAAACAACCTTCTTATATGTCAGGACATTTAATGGTCCTTTAGCATCGAGCCTTTGACAAATTTAATTTAATTTTATATTGTGTGTGCTGGGTCGTTTTGTTTTACGACACAATCCGCTTTCTTGGGGACCATTGAGAGCAAATTAGTTGCTTGCCTTAAGTCCGAGCCATTGACAAAGGATTAATCAAAACAGATAGATGAGCTTGGGCGGAGTGCGTGAGTCCTTTTAAGGCTCACATTATGCTGAAAACATGGCAGGGAATTATGAATATAAAAGCATAATTAAATGGGATTTGCGCCTCTGGGTTGGCTTTTCTTTTCAATGGAGGCCACACTTTGAAATAGCTTTGGCTTGGCAATATGGATGGCTTTGACATGCTAATTAGTTAACCTCACACGCCAGTGTGTGTGTCTGCATGTGTGTGTGTGTATGTGTTTTCCTAGTTGGGACCACATTGCTCATACGCCGCGTTTGACAGACCCCAGGCGCGGCGGCTAAGTGGCTGCTGTTTGCTGCGGGCGGCGCCCAAAACATGATGAATAGTTTTGCAATAATTACATTACACGGCAGTTTCACGCTCGGCCCGCCCGAAAGAAAGTCACACGTGGCTGACGCTTGGATCGAGTGGAAACTCTGATGACTTTCCTCTACACCGAGAGAAAAGAATTAACACAGATTTCGTATAGAAAACTATAAGTTCTTGTACGATAAAAATATTTTTATTGCACAATTTTGATTTTAATTGAAATCATTTATAAATCAAGATTTTAATCTAAGTTTATTTACAGTTTACTTGTTGATTAGGGGTTAGTCTTTCTTATGTATGAATGATAACTACAACATAAATTAACAATTAATGAAACATTTTCCCACGGTGTTCAAGTGCCACCTCAATGAGCATTCTGATATGGAGATGAACGCGGAGGCTCGCTCGATATTAATCATGTTTGGAGGTAATTAGCAATTAATAACGTTTTGCAAACTGTAAATTTATCGCCTGCTGCTCCGTCTTAGGAATTTCCCATCATAAATTACGTTACGTTTCCCGGCTTATGAATGAAGTGAAAAATGATCCGGTTGCCATCAAATGTCTGTTGCCATCGAATCCGATTTCCGTTTTATTTCAGTTGACTTTTGGCCCTTTTGATGCTTGTGGGGATTTGCTCTTGCGCTTTTGCCAGCTTATAGAATCGTCTTTTGCATATATGCAATATGCAATATGAATCTTCAAAGCTGGCATTTGCATCGTGTCGCAAACTAAGTTAATGTGATTGATGGCTTAATCGACGACTGCCCTAATTGCATCCCAAGCAGTCGGTTTAATTTCTTAACTGGTGATGTGCGTAAGCCCTTAGTGTATTTCAATCGAATGTAAATTATATATAGCAAAAGGGAATTTGTTTTTGTTTGGTACATATCAAGCTAACGCTTACCAAGCCTAGTAGTTCATACATTTTGGATATCACATAATTCTATTTTTTCCTGGAATATTATTTATACGATATTTCGATTTTTGAAAATATTCAAAGTGGCAAGGATTGCGAAATCGCTTATAAAAATCAACAGTTAACGATCCAATTAAATCCAAAGCGCCACAATGGTATTGCACGCATACCTCAAATTCCTTTGATACTTCCAATAAAATATACAGTCGGTCGTAATACCTTAAACCATTTAAGTCGCCTTCAGCCGGACAAGTGTCGGCCAAAATTTATGGTTTCGCTGCGAGAGCGACGCGTGAAATTGGCTTCTAATTGCCGGCGAATGAAATGTCACAGCCTTTGGCAGACTGAAATCTAGAGCGAGATATATATATATACTTCGCCGATGGGGGTGGGAAAATCAGCCGAAACTCATTTCGATACACTTGAGTTGATTTGTTTGCGGCCGAGGGACAGAACCAGTATACATTTCCATTTAAAATTAGACATGGATTTGGAAGTGGTTTGGCAAATCTTGTCATAAATTCCACAGCCAATTCAAATAAATCAGGGCAGTGATTAGTGGTCCGGTTCTCTTTTATTTATTAATGCATGTATAAAGAGTTTATTTATATCCGAGCATCGGATCATTCACGATGCAGCATTGCCACTTTCAGTCGCATTATTGGGGCACTCTCGCAGTACTGCTGGAATTTATGCGTCACTGCACCTGACGAAAAAGTCGAACAAGCTGCACTTGAAAATGTGGAAAAAGGTCGAACATATACGAGTACGTATAGTAAATATGTAAAAGGGACGTTGCACATGTCAGTGGCACTCGTTTTATTTACGCGACAAGTGGCAATTACAAAAATCCGCTGCCAGTCACTGCTCATTTTTGTGCAACTCGAGTGGCATTAAAATGTTGCCATTTCCATTTACCGGGTAACTCTCGGGAACCAATCTACATACATACATATAAACTCGATTGCCTTACTCTAAGTTTCAACTGATATTCCCCAATAATTGATCGGCTTTGATTCGTGCTCACTGAATCCGGGCTTCGGCATCCGATTGAAGACTTTGAGCCTTAATTGTTTGGCATATCTCTTGGCCAACTATTTGGCCGAATCCAATCAGCAGCAGATGCAGCCTTTTCATTGCCTTATTGATGCAATTGTTTACATGTGTAATTAAGTTACCAGCCCAGTAAATGTGTTGATGATGTGAACAAATTTATTTGCCATAATATTTGCATGTGTTTAAGCCGGGTATTTTATTTTGTTGTTATTTTCTTTTTTTTTTTTGTAGCTGACCATTATTGTTATTACTATGTACGAGATTCGCAGGATGCTGGACTTGGGCTCAGGCCACTCGTAAATATTTATGCTGTTGCCGTATTGTTGTCGGAATTAAAACGGCAAACATGACACTCGAAAAAATAATAAAGCAATCAGTTAAGCGCAGCAACTGTGCGGGTAATTATATAAATTGTTTACTTACGCCAACGGAATTCCCTTTGTGTTCGCATGTTTGTTTACTTATTCGCTCAGTCCGAGTATGCGAGTGCAATGAAATTTTATGTGCTTATAGTTGTGCTTAGTGTTGAATTAAAATATGCACCAGTGTTTACAACCGCCTCGGATGATGACCACTGCGATAAAAGCACGCTCGTAAACGCTACGTTCACATTCGCCATGTCATCCAGGACCCCAACGACAACGACGACGTCGCCATTTTGCCTAGATGTTGTCAAACATGGCCAGACGAGGAGTGCCGGACAGGAACACCTCACTCATTGGCCCGGCCAGTGGAGGGGGTATGAACAACACCAGTGATGACAGCCACGTATCCTTGGAGTGGAAAAAGTCATTGGGAAAACGAGAAATGCAATACTTAAAGAGTTTTATAACTACTTTAAATTTTAAGGCTTTTCTGAGCCAAATTCCAGACAAAACTAACTTTTTTAGGAATAATATAACTATTTTAATAAGTTCTCTATAATTAAGAAAAAACTTTTATAAAAAAATTATTTTACTAATTGACATGAAATATTGAAATATTATAATATAGCTCAAAAAACGATTAATATTTGTCATTGTTAAAAGGGAAGTGTGTTCTTCTGTGCTAATCAAAAAATGGAATAATTACAACATGGGTGTTTGGCAAGGTCAAGCTTTAAAAGGTATTAATTTGGCTATTTTATTTTGGAGGCAATAGTTACCAAGCAAAGTTTATTTTTCTCCCAGAATTTAATCATTTGTTTTGGGAACTGTCCATGTTGTCATCTCTGTTTGAACTGCTCACTGAGGCACTTGTTCCATTTTGTAGTTGGATTGCGGACGTTTAAGAGCTCGACTCTTCACGAAGACTCACTCACATCGAAGACCCTGATACGTCCACTGTCCCTGTTCCTTGTTCCGGACTCCTCTCTCCGGACTCCGTTTTCCGTACTCCGCCGTATTCTGTACGCCGTAGTCCGTGTTCCGTGAGGCTGTGCAGATAATGCTGATGATTTTGATGTTCGTGTCATTGTCGTTCGAAAGCGTTATGCGTGACGAAACGGAAACTCTTAAAAGGCACAATGAATAAACGCTCGAAATGAGGCCAAAAGCCGCCCAAAAAAGCAGCCCCAGTGCGACTGGTGTCTGATTTCTGGCAGGCAGTGTCCTGCGGTTCGCCATGGCACATTAAGAAGGACTCTGGCTGTAAATTCTCCCCTGTTTTATGCGCATTTCGTTACGCCCTGATGCCGTCGACGCTCTTCCTTGGCCGGAAACTCCGTGGATCCGGATCCGTGGACTCCGAGTCCAAGGCAATCGCCACGCCCCGCAAATATTTCCGGGGGAAAACAAGTCGGTGGTCGGGGAATCATTATTTTAATTAGATGCCAGTGCACAGTGGTTGCGCCCATAGGCCATAAATCGAAAAATCGACTTTAAAATAATTAGTCAAAATGTTAAGAATTTGTCTCCAAATTGTCCATATTTTGTCATTGCAAACTAGTTTTTTCCGGAAATCTAACGGGACATTCTAAAAATAGAATGCAAACTGTGAACACGTGTTCAATTTTGCTGCTGCAGTTGCGTTTTAGTGCTTTTCGTCAAAACAAAAGTGAAGTTCAAAGTGGTCGGACGTTCTCAAAAATTCACCAATTTTAATTATTTAAAATGCATTTTAAAGTTGAAGGTATTAACTTTAAAAAATTGGTTTTATGAAATTTATCTGACTAATTACATTTTATTTGTGTATTTTAGATCGATTAACCCTTTTTTGACTATTTTGTGAACGTCTTTTTCATGTTTAGTTAAAGTTTTAGTTGTGATGCCACGTTTTCCCACAAATAGTATGTATGTTAATGTGTTCGTCTGACTTTTAGGGTACTATATGCCTAAAATCAGCTGCAGAAATTTGCAGATGTTTATATAATCGGGAAAATACTGATGCCATCTATCGTTTGGCAAGGGACAGTTTTTCCTTATTTTGCTTTTGTTTTG